CCTGCAATAAGAGAGGGAATTATTGCTATTCATTTAAAAGAAGGGAGTATATTAATCCTATTAGAGAGAAAAATGTTATTCACTTTTCATGGGAGAGAATAATTCCTCCTCTTTGATGGAAGAGAATAACTGCTGTTCAATTTGAATAGGAGAGAACAATTAAGTGCTGTTTCCTTTTAAAGGGATGAAGTAATTTGTAACTTGTAATGGAAGAGAACAGTTACTTTATTCTTCACCTTCAACCCTTTCACCACTGTAGACCATAATGGACTCATCCACATAAATGCCTGATAGAGTCTACTAAAGTTACATAGGGGTGAAAGGGTTAATAGAAAGGAACAGTTTGAAAATGTATGAAATGTCTGCCTCATCCAATGACAGCATTTTCAGACTTGTATTTATTGATAGAAATTTAGTGACTTTTTTGATGGGAAAAGTTGTATGCTTGACTACTTATGTTGAGTAAGCATAAAGGCTATTATGGCAAAATGTTACCTTTTGTAAAGGCCTTAACCCATTCACCCCTAAAGTCACATTTGAACCTTACCAAATCAATGACTGGGCAAGTCCAGTTTAAATATGTAGGGGAATGAGTTAGTATGAATATTGGATGTTTGGTCCAGTGCTTGATATGATTTAGCCCTCACTCCGATGCTCAATCCCTGGTAGGTTTGTAGAGGTGTTGTTATCGCTTTCTAATGGTGGTGTTTTAAGCAAAAATGACCCAAGCTGACTTCTCTGTGTAAGCTTGGCAATTCATGTTGATTTGTCCTGGATATAATGTGTTTGGCTCTGCACAACAACACTCTTAGCTTATACTTGCATAGTCAAACCACTATATAGATGTGTTTTACATACTCTGGGATGGTCTGATAACACTTGCCATTGCAGACATATTTCAGAATTATTCCACATATAACTAAAAGCTTTCTCACCACAGTAACGTTTAACGGTCTTCATGGGTCAGAATATTCTCTCTGGACGATCATGACTGTGACTGATGTATCTCAATGTATGTAAAGATTTTAATTTTATGGAGAACACTGAGGCCATTGCAGCTTTTCATATTAATATTTCAGAGGTTGTGGATTTTATCGGGATTTTAACTCATTCACCCCTGAAGACACATTTGAGCTCTTCCAATTCAAAGTTTGGAATAGTTCATTACGAAATGTCTTACAACATATCTTTTAAGAATTATAATATGTTTAATAATTGCATGATTACATGTTGAAAAAGTTCTCCAAAATGCATACCTTGATGTACTCAGGCTTTTCATATACAAATTAAAAAACTAAAGGCAATTAAGGTACTAATACAAAATGTGTAAGGTAACATATATCTCAACAATGAATTCTTCGATATATTCAAGTATTTAGAATTAATATATACAAAAAAACTAAAGGTGATTATTTATAATACAAAATGGGTAACGTGTGTCAGGTACATAGCATATCCCCTTAACCTATGTGTCAGGTACGTAGCATATCCCCTTAACCTATGTGCAGGTTTGTTATATAGTTGTGGTTGATACACCTCTAAGGTATCCTGTACTGGCACACATTGTGGTCAATCTCATATCCTGACCCTGACCTTACCCTGTCAAGGTTGGTGGCCGTTATAATTTAGGTCACTCTCAACTACGCAAGCCAATTACTGCTCCTTGGTCACACACACCTGATACTGCCAGGCCATTTTTGTGTTGCATGGGTCTTTTTAACAGAAAATCAATAAATAAGTTCCCAATATCTTAGTAAAACCATCTAAATAATTTACATACTTCAACACGAAAGCATATTTGAAAATTGCTTTTAACTCCGGAGAACTAGGTCTTGTTTTAAATGAACAGTTCTATTTCACTGGATCTAAACATGGATGTAATTAACTCTGAGTAAAGACATCACAATTATTTCAAGCCTATGTGGCTTTCAAATGTAAGTAAACTGTTGCTTTAAATTATTCATTTCCTCAGGGTCTTACATGCTTCATTTTCTTGTCTCCAAGTGTTTTTTAATCAAAACAAAAACCGAGCAATGTTGTTTGATGACTCACAGGAAACTACGAGTTTATAAAGATTTGTATTATGTATTTGGGGGGATTTGGGTGACAGTCGTACCCCGTTCCATACCTTGACCAATCAATCATTTGTCCAAACCTAAATATTGGGACTTAATCATACCTTAGTTTCCTACTTTTTGTGAGGAAGGAATGTTTTCATACAATCGATAGCTGGGAAAGTATATGTTTGCTGTTCCTACCTTTGGGCCAATTACCTAATGCTTTCTTGTTGAATCTCGATAGATCTGCCAGTTAGGGTGTTATGTACATTAGTACAGGTAAACGGACAGGTAAACGTTCAGGTATTCGGTCAGGTGAGCCTTATGTATACAGTCTCAGAGGTTTGAAGCATTCAAAGTTTGTCTAGCAGAAAATGATGGCCAATTACACGTACATTTAACAACAAGAACTCTTGGTTTGAAATCTTTACCTGTGAGGTGTAGTAGTGCTGGAGGAATCACACTGATAAACTGATTTACTTTCTGGATTTAAGGATATGACTGCTCGACACACAAGCGAGGATTAATATTTAAGTTCTATTCTGTGTATAACGATATAAATTTATTTTCGTGAGAGTGTGTATGGGATTTTATGCTTTAGAGGATTGTTATCAGCAAGCGTATATTGTTGAGCGTAGATGTGATGAAACTGTGAACACCTATTTGTGGATTTAATAAGCGACACAGAGTTTTATCCACGCCTCTGTATACTGGCCTTATTCATACTGCAGGTGAGTTGTCCTCTACAGCTGATGAATTATTGGTAATGTACCACTTACATGGAAACCAGCCATGATGATATTCTAGTCTTACTCAGCATTTACTTATTGACTTCCAAACTTCGTCATCCCGTTGTTGTACTTGTCTATAGCTATATTTGTGTTCGTCCGACATAGCTGGGGATTTGTGACTTCCTTTGCTGTATTAGTGCTGGGATTATATGTATATACAGTTATTTTTACTCTACTTTCGAAATCCTCTGAATGGAAAACAATTTATCTTCTTTCTCGGTGTAAACATTTCCAAATCTCACTAATTCCTTCTTGGATTGTGTTTTGATGGAAGCTATAGTAACACGTGGAAATATACCTGTGCATACTGTCATTGTGATTTAATTCAAACTAATTCATGACATCAAAAGGTTTGTGGATTTATGTACGTAAGAGAATATTACAATTGAAATGTTTAAATTGGCAGGAGGCAGAAATATCTAATCTATTTTTTGTTCATGTCAACAACAAAAACAGAAAAGGGGTTAATTAATTTACTCACTTCTTATTCCAAAACTATGATATGATATTAATTTACTTTTAAGAAATTGTAGCTATACATATCTTCAGTATGATTTAAAAACACTAACAGATTGAAGGAGTCGTATTGAGGGAAAGACTTTCTTATAGTCAACCTTTATAAATATCTTATTGGTTAAATCAGAAACTTTCAAACGAACAAATTCATCCCTTGTTTTTTTCTGATGTAAAGCTTGTACTCATAGATAGCAATCATTTTTTTTTTTAAATCTTTCTCTTTTCTGTTGCTCTATGAAACTTGATAACCGGTAACAAACATTTTCCCTGTCTCCCTACTATTTTAAGTGTAAGATCTGAAACTTGAGGATGAACAAGCTCTTTCCTTGTCTCTCCGGTTGGTGTAATGTATTTGTATTAGATGACCCTGTTTAGCTGATCTATGAGTGTATGGTAATCAATTCATCAAGTTGAGTTAATTTGTTTTCGGAGCAAGCCTCTTCTTGTTAATTAATGTCAGTGTATGTATATTAGGTCGCGGTCACCATTAGTAGGTATTATATCCTGTTTTTGGTGTTTGATGGATCACCGCGGACCGACTATGATTTAACTAGACAGCACTACTGGGAAGTCTCATGCTATTCTGTAGGTAGAAAAACAAGTTCTCAGAATTATCAATTTATTAGAAGTAATAAAAAAAAATGTTTTGATGTATATCAGTTGTTAAGTCCATACTGGGTCATTAACTGTTGGACAAGAGCATTGTACAAGGCTTTATTTTCACCTAATGTCTCGCAGAAATGACACGGATCAAAGATACCATATTTCAATCTCTTTATTATGTATGTTTCATGATAATTGTGCTAATAAAATAAAGTTGGATTATGTTTATATCTAAAAAAAGTCATTAAAGAACAGATGAAGACATTTAAAAACTAATTCAAATTTTACATAAAAACAATAATTTGACAGCAGATCTAGGTTGAAACTTTTTCATATGTCATGAAATAGTTTTCTTTGCACTTTTCTTCACATTTAAACAAGTGTTGGGATGATTTATAGCATATACCACAAAAATAAATTTTCACAAAACAGTCCTTTCAATAATCCATGTGCTCACAATAATGAAGTAACTTACATTTATATCCAGTATTCACAAAAATGTAGTAATTTACAGTAACCCAGTGTCCACAAAGATGAAGTAATTTACAGTAACCCAGTGTCCACAAAAATGAAGTAACTTACAGTAACTCAGTATACACACCAGTAATTAACCCAGTACATTTGTATTCACAAAAACATAATAACTTTAGAGTAATGCCATGTTCACCAAAAGTAGAAACTTACAATAACTCAGTAGTATAAGGTGAGTGGATTTACCTGTGTGATGGTTACACCTGTGACATCACAGGTAAAGAGAGGCACACTTACACTTCTGTATATACGTAATAAGTGTGTAAGGATTATAATAGCTTGGGGCAAGACGTGACATAGTCTGACTTCAACGTTTACCGTCCCAGTGTGTCCCTGTTTGAACAGATGAAAAGCATTATCTCATTTCTACATCTTCTACACTAGGAGGCTAGCTTCTAGCTACCAGACGGATACTAACAAGTTTTCCTTTGATCCAGATCAGGGTTTGTCCAAGGAGAATTGAATTTACTGGTAATGTAATATTTTAATCACTTACCTGTAATGTTTATGAAATGTGTACATAGAGTGATGGATGAAGGAAGAAGAATTTTGACATTTGTTTGCAAGCTTTAAATCTTTGATGTTACTGTTGTTTTTGATATAATCTTGATAAGAATGAATCCTAGATCTTTATGTGACTATTTGTGTAGGTATTTTTAACACTTAGGCCTGAGCTTAGCTTTGATCCTGACTCTTCCTCTTTGTCTTCACACTGTTTACTTGACATCTTACAATTACACATTGTGACCCATCTTTAAAATTCTATCTGTTGGTTTTGTTTCCAAGCTTCTCTTTGATCCAGATCATTTCTGTATTCACTTTCCAATTTGATGTTTTGTTTATTTAACAGATTTCACAGCTCTGGGTGTGAATCTGAATGTCTGTGTTACTGTTTATCATGTAATATCTTATACAACCCTAACACCATTGATAGCAGAACCAACAGGCAAACTCTCCCCTTTTGTTGTAAGCCCTGAGTTTGGCTCCCTGGGTGTCGACACAGGGGCAGGATTAGGAGAGGCAAGCATGAGGATATTGTAAATCATTGTTAAGGGAATTAGGGACTGTTGGGATTAACTCCAAAGGACAGAACAGTTAGATCATATTCAATTACTAATCCTAAGGATTTTCCTAATAATGTCTGAAACTTGTGAAACTGTTGTAACAACAGGAGTTTAATCCAAGTCTGTTGTATTTGACATTTATAGACCTACATGTATGTATACTGTAGCTAAGTGTGCTCAACTAATCTTTAAATGTTATCAAAAAGCATATAAAACTGGAAAACATAGAAACTTTTCCAGTGGTGTGTTTGACTTTGGATGTTTAATTAACCTGCCTGCTGTCTTGGCTGAGGGTCAATTTGGATACATATATTTGGACACCTTAACAGCCTTGTGTGTAATTCAACTAATTATTTTACTGAGGTTTGTGAATTTACTCTTCATCAACATCTCCCTAATAGATTTTTTTTATCTTTTTTCTCTCAAATTTTCATAATATGGACATCTCTCAGATTGTAATATATTTATGATTTAATTCTGCAGACTATTTAAAACTATTTGTGATGATGTTTATCTTCGTTGAGATAATTGTTATCCCAGAGAAAATTGAATATTTATAGCAACATTAATCATACAGAATTTGCTTACTTTGTAAAATGTTTTATCAAAAGTTTAAACAAAATTAGTCTCATATTTCTGATAATAAACTTTTAACGGAATTGGTTGATACTTTTACGGAATTGGTTGATAAATGCTTATAATCATAATTTGATTTGATAAAAATAGAATTAATATGATTTTGTTGATCCACTTTATTTTGATAAAGAAACTGCTTATGGAAGTGGTTTTTCACCTACATATGCTGGTATCTGATTTGTATCTTCTGTGTGCAAATCCAAATTCACATTGAATGCTATTTAAGATAGGTTGATACTGTCAAGCAGTTTCAAGTTGCTGTATTTTCCCTCCGGTCACATAGAATATCGCTATAGTAACTCGATAGAACCATAACAATAAATTTGTATTACAAATTAACCATTACTATATTTTACTAGTAGTTGTAAATCTAATTATCCCCGACAATGTTTCTGGTAATGTCTGTTACACAATTCTCAACGTTGCAGCATATCACGCGACCATCTCTGCCGCTATTCTATGCATGCTTCCACAGCGTAACTGTCAGAATTGAGAAACACACAAGACATGATTTCGTGAAAATTTGTTTCATTAATTACAGAGGATTTCATTTGGTGTTGCTGTAGGCTTGGGATATATGTACGACTGAAGGCCTGGAGTGTGGAATATCTGTGAAGATAGGCGAGAGAGTCTGGCCTTATCTTGTCCATATCACACAATTATACTCCCATCATGTGCCGCCAAAATTGACAGTTAAACTGATTTAAACAGCCATAAATAATAGCAGAGCGAATCTGAAATATCAAATTTTGTATGTAGCTCATTATGACCGAATCAAATTATCCATTTCAAAGTGACGGTAGGGGGATGGATGGGCATGGATCGGCAGGAGCTTGGGACATTCCGAAATAATAGCGTTAATTACAGGAAGTTGGAAGCCCCCTCCCCCTCTCAACAGACATCTGTCTGTCCCCATTATCTTCTGTTTAAGGCAATGATGCATATGAGTCCATACTTTAATACAGGCGTGGAAACATTCCGATATATTTTTATGTGTGAAATTATATGCAGAGGTTTTTCTCTGTTTAGTATTTTTTTTAAAGGAAAAGAAAAAAAAGAAAGAAATTCATTGACGAATATAATGGGAGCTAGTTTTGGGTATTGCAACTTAACAGTTGAGTTTTTTCCGAAGTTTCTGTAAAATAATACCTGCACATTTATGACATTATGTACGTTAACTTATATTGTTAAAATTGTTAAACTGACAACAATTCAATGAAAATGATGGAAATTCAAAACAAAATATTTATTTTTTTGATAAAAGGAAATCAGGTCACAAATTGAATGAAGCAAAACTGATGGTGTTGTCTTTTGATAGTTTTCTAGTCTGAGTATTCACAAAATAAGTCATGGTATATGAATTAATTGAGGTAATGATAAACAGAATCTCAAACTCTTCCTATTCCATTAAACTTTTATTTAATTTACTGAAAACCTAATCGGAATTGTTCTAGATTGTCTTGTTTAGCATGTTCAGCTTGAGTAGTCTGACCTTAATTTGCTGCTGTAGAAAAGAATTGTGTCCCAGATGGCTGAATGCTTTTAGAGCATTTTAAAACCCTGCTTGAATGTGCTTGTTACATCCACATCCAAGTTCATGTTTGGCTTTTAGCATCTGACAAATTGTGACAGAATCTAGGGAAGGACTAAAATGTACATTATGTAAAGTATAGATATAGTTTGTCACAAAGCAACTCTTGCATGAATAGTTATATGTCATGTAGGAAAAGGACTATATAGAGATAATAAGGATCAGAACAGCTCATGAAGAAATATTGTCAAGAGGTTACCCATTCATGTTCTTTCAAACAAACCAAAGTTTGGAAAGTCTGACATCATGATCCGTTCTACGTTGTTAATTGATTCATGATCATGTTTGTTTTTTTGGTACAGAAATTGCTGCAAGTGTTCTAATGTTCCTATATCTGTTCCACAGGTACGACAGCCCTGTGATGTGTTAGGGTGAGGACATGAACACACTACCCTGGTGGTATGGAAGGCGTGGCACTGTACGCACTTCTCTCCCTCGCCGTGGCAACCCTCGCCTCAGGCTTCATGTACAGCAATGAGGGGGACATAGGAGGTAAGTCATGTTTAAAGGTAACAAATATATCTGTATAGTATGTAAGTTAAATAACACAAAACAAGATATACTCGTCCACGCACTGCATGAAGATCAAATCTCTTTACATTCCTTAGCATTCTGTACAGAAAACTTAGTTTCAATGTTAAAGGTGAAGCTCATGAAGTCTATCAATTAAGCAAAAGAATAAAGATATTTTGTCCTGGCCAGGGGTGGGGGGGATTTGAAATCTTCATATTAGTGTCAATTAGTACCATTTTAGCTACAAATACATGCAGTAAAATTATTTAAATCAAGGAGCAGCACTCAATCTCGGACCATCCTCGCACACAAAAATCTAAATGATAATATCAGAGATGGAAATATGAACTCTTTAAACTCGAATCAAGTTCAGCTTTTTTGAGTTCAGGACATGACTACCATTAAAGTGGTGATATGATTTTATAGCCAGAAGTAACACACGACCACCAAGAAAGTGATACTTGATTACTGACCAAAAAGCTTGGACATGGTTGGGTGATTTAAAAGTGGTGATTAATTCTGGATTGAAGGATGACTTGTATTTTTCTCCGGATCATATCACAGGAAACTAGACAGGTTATCATCAAAATCTCAATTTATTTAATTCAAAGTCAATTTGAAGTTACATCAATATAAATTTAATAGTTTTCTAATATACAGTTTAACTTTGCTAATTGTATCAAACTTGTTTCAGCTATTGAAAACAGTGTACAATATTTGACTGAATTAAAGTACAGCAAGACCTGCTTTAACAGGCACTTACCTTAAAATGGCCACTATACAAGATCCCAAATAATGTTTTCTATGCTAACCATACTTTATAGTCTACCTGTCTATTAAGACTGCGTTTGTTCTCTCCCTTAAGAGATCTTTCAAGACAGGTTTCGCTGTACACTGAAATTAAATTACCATAAAATTAGATTTGACTTTAAATAAAGTTGTAGGATTAAAGTAGAGATAGGAAAAAGCCAGCTCCAAAAACATCACTATGTGAAATACTCACTGTAGCTTACAAAATCAAAACTGTTTACTGTAAAAGCTACCTGGCCCGATATTTACTTTTTGAAACAAATTAAAAAAGCAACTGTCCTTGTTTACTGCAGACATGAAATATTTATAGGACAAAATCTACATATACTACATCATGTTGTATCATGGGGATTGTGATAGACATCTAAACCTGAGAACAGCTGGGCTGTTCTTGTTTCATTCTCGTCAGCTGAATTGCTTGTTTACTCAAAATAGTTTTTATTCCAAATAGCTTAAAATGGAAAACTATTTTCATTTTTTTTTTTATCAGATAGTGGTAATTTCAAATCCAAACAGATGTAGTTATGTTTAATTAACAGCATTATTTTTTAAATATTGCACGGTCCCTGAGTGCTAATAATGCTTTAACTAGTATCTTGGTTGTGATCAGCTTGTGTGAAATGTAGCTTTACTTGTATATAATTTATACAAAATACATCGGTTTTTAACTTGACTTATACATTTTCCATTTTTGGCTTGTTAACTGATAAACAAAGTTATATAAAGTCTGCACTGTGAAGCACTAGTCAGTCATGATTGGATTAATTCTGCTCATTGCACATATTTCACCTCCTTCCTAAGACGGTTAAAGGTATAACAGTTATCTCCCTTGAATTAAACATTTTATGTCCTGATTGTTGTAGCTTTATTTACCACTGTTATCACCCAAAATTATATTTTGTACCAAGAACACTATCACCCGAGTGTTACCACCAAAATGTTAACCTGAATGTCTTAAAAAAGTGTTATGAAATGAGTGTTATCACATTGATGTTATCACCAGTGTTATCACCAGTGTTTTAAAAGTATGTGTTATCACATGGGTGTTATCACATGGGTGTTATCAAATGGATTATCAACAGAGTGTAATCACCAGTGTTTTAAAGTGAGTATTATCACATTGGTATTATCAGCAGCGTGTTTTCACCGGAGTGTTATCATCAGGGTAATCAAATGAGTGTTATCACCAGGGTAATCAAATGAGTATTATTACCAGGGTAATCAAATGAGTGTTATCACCAGGGTAATCAAATGAGTGTAATCACCTGAGTTTTGTATCACCTGGGTGTCATTGTCAGACTGATCACCCAAAGTTTTCACCGGAGTGTTGTAAACTTGGTATTGTTACCTGATGGGGTGTGTAGGTAGATGACACATGTAGCTGGCTCTAACTGATACACTAGATATAAGTATACTCAGGGTTTTGTATAACTGTGAGACAGAATATCTTAGCTAATGCTATATAATGTGTTCCAAGTATAACATCTGGATTAAGGCTCTAAACTCTACAGATCAGAAAGTTAATTACCTCTTCAATATCATTCCCAACACATTTGATAAAGCTCTAATTTAAGAGAGAACTAAGGGTATAGTATCTAGCGATATCAACTATATATAAAGGGATTTAATAAATTCCTGCCTTTTGGGATTTCAGTTACCTGGTAAACCATTTAAAACAGAATCGTTTTATTTACAGTAATTACTAATTAGGTATATATTGGCAAGTGCTCTGGCTGTTAGCTATTAAATGTTGCAAATATCTGTATATAATGTGTATTTTCCAGTCTAGCTTAAAAAAAGATCATTGGATATTTTTGAAATTTTGATAGAAAGTCATACAGGAAGTTGTCAAGCCAATGGATCAATGTAGACTTGGGTCTAAATATACTTATTTCAGTTATTTAAAGTATCTTTTATTAAAGTTTGGTCAATTTATCTAAATATTCCAAAATTATTTGGGATTTTTTCTTTTTCATAATCATTTTTTTGAACCAAAATATTTCATTTGATATCAGGTATTTGAAGATATTGAATAGCACAGTGAAACTGTTATCTGGGTATGGATTTCCCGATCCAGTTTACAGAAAGCTGGTTATGTTAAATGAGTCTTGTTGAATATTACTTTGGCTATAAATCTGCAGCAAGCATGATAAACTAATTTTCTACAGTACCAGTTCTTTGATGATGAAACCAGTCAAACAAATTAACAAAGATTTATTGATCATTGCAATAAATTTAATTTGTTTCTCAGTTCAGGTGAAAAAATTGATTTAATTTAAACTCAGAAACTACCACAATACAACCATTTTATTGTTTTACCCATGCAATTAAAATAGATCGATGCAAACTTTAACACAATTTGAAATGCACAATAACAGTTGTTAGGTTTTCTAGCTTGGCAAGAATCAATCACATTTTTTAAACTGTTACATTTAAATAATATGACTTGACTTACTTTAAATACTTACCTGTATATAAGGGAAACAAGAATCCTTGTACCACTGCCAAGAACCTGTTACCATGCATACGATTGGAAACTCATTTTTCTGGCATGACTATAGCTTTGATAAATCATTTCTGACAAGAAAACCATACATTGTAGGGCTTTTATGAAGAAAAAAATCAAACAGTTAAGTGTTCCAAGTGTAAAAAGTTCAGCATGGCTAGGCCAGGATTGGAGCCCAGACTTCAAATTGTTATACTGTCACTCTAACCAATCGAGCTACATGGTCATCAGACGTTCTCTGGCCCAATTGCTCTACACTAATATCAAAAATGATATGAAAGGGAGCTAGCTAGGTCACTGTCTTTGCAAAAAAAACATGGTAGATTTATCTTGGGTTTTGCCTGCAGTTGGTCAGGATCCTGAACAGGAAAGGAGATATATAGACACTTGTAAACCATGGGTCTGTTATAAGTTAGGACATGATGTTATAGACGATTTGTTATATTGTCTTATTCATACAGGTAGCCCTCTTAGCCAGGTTTTATATAATTGATAACCCGAGTTGTCCTTTATAGGCAAGTTTCCGTTACCAACAGTGACAGAATCATCTGTGAAAGAATGTTTTATGAGGTTACCTTTTAGTCTGAAGACAAGTTTAAGCATCATATTATGAAAGTGGTATTAAAATTCTAAAAATCAATTAATTCAGCATTTTAAGAGGATATTAACATTTAATCTGGGTCTTCGGAAGCCAGTAATGTCAGTTTAATAGTCACCTGAGTTACGATGAAACCTCGTTTATATGAGCTCCATACCAAAGATCATTTCTGAAATAGGAACAAATTGATGAAATTGTAAATTGATACATTAAAAGAAAAGAAAATATCTGTATGATGAGATTTTTGAAGAACTGGTGTCAAGATTAGAGGCTATATTGATGAAATTATAATCCCATTTGGGTTTTTATATAGATGAAAATTCAGATAGCTATGCAAGACTAACTAATATATCCCATATCTGATGTGTTACGTGTTAGGATTTTAACAATTGCATTGATTTGTCATAAATTTGAGCATTAATAAATTTAGTTCATGAAAATTGTATTGAACCCTACGATAATGGCTCCAATAATAACAACTCTGGTCTGTTTTGCAGTACTTCTGCCTGATGATCCATACATTTATATCGGCCATGAGTTGGTGCTGACATGCAACTTGACCCGCCCCCTGGTGGAAGATTCATCACGAATGTACTTCACTCGTAAGGACAACAAGGTTATTCCAGGAAAGTATGTGTTTCGGCTCAGCACACGCACCATACAGCTCCGCCTACCCATCGAGTCCATGTATGATGAGGGCAACTATGTCTGTAAACTCAACACAACCCACGGCACACCCAAGGTCATCGCCAACCAGTATGTCAAGGTCGAATGTAAGTGTCAAGGTCAAATATGAGAGTGTGTTATGTTAAGGTAAAAAATAAGTGTTTGATCAAGGTCACTTGACAGCATCATATGGAAGTCTGACGTGAAAGTTAGACATAGATTGGATATGGATATAACGTGAACGTTAGACATAGATTGGATATAACGTGAACGTTAGAGATAGATTGGATATCGATATAAGGTGAACGTTAGACATAGATTGGATATCGATATAAGGGGAACGTTAGACATAGATTGGATATAACGGGAACGTTAGACATAGATTGGATATAACGTGAACGTTAGACATAGAATGGATATGGATATAAGGTGAACGTTAGACATAGATTGGATATAACGTGAACGTTAGACATAGATTGGATATGGATATAACATGAACGTTAGAAATAGATTGGATATGGATGTTTAAGGTCTTTGTTGAAAGCAATATAATTATTAAATGTTAGATCAGATGTTTCTTAAACTGAAGTTAATGTTTATTTACCACACAACACAATGTCTATCTTAAATTTTATAAACAAAAATGTCAAGATTAACATTTATAAGACGATGCATTATATACGATAACGTAAAATTAGGTATCATATGTCAGTAAAATCTGTCTCGTGAGAATTCCAAAAACATTAAAGCATTTGTATTCAATAATGTTGTAAATGACAGGTTGTAGGAGATGTGCAGGTCTTTCTAGTCAAATTCACAGTAAAATGTATGATAGTTTATTGATGTTTATGTATTATGTAACAGTTGCACCAAAGGTGGTGGAGGACATTGACTGCCGGGTGTATAACTGGGAGAACATGACTTGTGTGTGGAGGCTAGGGCTCAACTACATCCACACGGAAGACATCAAGATTGACCTGGTGTGGACGGTGGAGTAAGTACATTCTTATATACATACGTCCACATTTACAATACAGATTGATAAACTAGTAAGGATAAACTTTTCTGGAATGCCAAAGTCTTCTCATAAGAAATAATTAGGATTATATAGCAGTCACCTTGTTTATCCTTCCATCTGTTAACCCCTTAGCCAGACCATGCTTCTGGATGTTTTAACCCGTTACTGTTATCTCCACAGGTACATGGAGCATGCAGACTGTCCCCACCCAACACCTACTTCCTGTACTTGGAAGATGGGTGCGTTTGACAGCACTTACTACGACGGAATGATGTACTATATGCAGTTGACAATCCATAACACGCGAACTGGAGATATGGCTAAGTCACAGCTCATGAAAAAGGACACACGACGCATTGGTAAGGGGAACAACTCTTACACAAAAACTAGGAAGAACATTTAGGACTTTAAGATATCGCTTGTAAACATCGTGTGTATACTTGTGTCAAACATTTGACAGAAAATCGAAAGTGAGAATTCTCCGTAAAAAGTACCAAGTACCTTAATTTTCTGTCTGCAAATATGTATGTTGAAAAAGAAAATATTATTTTTAAGCTGGTCTATTTCAGGAATATCGGGGCTCACATAGTCACCCTGATATTGTTGTCAGCATTGGTTGATGTAAGTTTTGGTGAAAGTGTTGAAACTCATTAATGCAACCTTGAGTAATAGTATTAGGATGATAATCATTTGAGGTTCCTAGAGGTTCAACATTGATTTTTGACCTGTTTTTGACACTTTATGCCAAAACCTAGTGGTATTGTTATTCTGTTGGATTGAATAAAAATTTTACAAGGAACTTATATTTGGAAAGATATTTCAACAATGGTCATTTAGTAACAATACAATAACAGAATGAGATAATAATGTTACAATATATTCGCTTTGCTTGTTTGCCCGTTGTCGAGGAGTCCTAGTGTATGGGATAAGACTTAATTCCCAGTACGGATTCCCTTTCACATGCTAGACCTAGATTAATTTGAAGGTAATGGGACATACTCATGGCCATCTCATTTACATACATTTCCCATAAAGAGAATCGGATAAGGCGTAATGCACAACACAGTTGTGGAGGTCTGAGTGCCCCGACATGTTATGGTACCTAGACATGATATGGTTGGACATTTATCAGACGTGATACGATTGGACATTTATATACATGTATACATATTATTGGTTCTGTTTCAAAAAAGCTGGCATATCTTTTTTTGTTTTGAAAATATGAATGCAAGCATGACTATACACAAATGTATTAAAGCACAAAGTCATTGTTATTGCAAAAGTTTTTCGAATTCTTAAGTGTCCTAGCAATAATGTCCAGGAATATTATATTATTGGCTCACTATAATCACTTCAGGAACATTTCCAGGAAATGATCTGTTTAAATGTTAATCATCAAGCATAAATCCAGTTCTGTTGATCTGAACATTGCCAATTTTACATATATCAGTGAGAATAGAGGTCTATCTTGCTTTGTTCTATGCCATTTAACTCACCCCTACCATCCTAAACTGGACTTGCCATATCTTTGGTAAGGTTCAAATGTGACTTTCGGGGTGAATGGGTTAAACTTTTATAGATAGTATTTTTGGTTTAAAAAATGTGTTTTATCACGTCAATAGCTACAGATCCAGATTTTTGTACATAAATGCCTGTTTTGTAATTCACTTGTACTAGTCACCATTATTTGAAGGTTAGAGATATTTGAACTTACAATTGTATTCTCATCTGTAGTGGAGCCTGCACCGGTCAGTAATGTCAAATACACGTACAACAGTACATGTATGGCCTTCTCCTGGTCCCACTCCCGTCCTAACAACAGCAAAGTGTTCCGTATCCAGTACAACTCGGAATGGGATCCGCATCACTGGAAGGTTTGTTTCTTATGTGTTCATATAATATGCTGGAAAGATGTTTTTCTTTTTTGCCATCATAAATATCCTCTACATTTACATCTTTAAATATCTTTGAAATTTGAAGACTCTTTATTAGTCAGGTTTTATTTTTTGTTTGCCTTCTTTCCTTGAATAATTATCAAGCTATTTTATAACATTAAGAAGTGTTAGATAAATTTGATTATAACCTACATTCATTTGTTTTCAGGAGTTTGAGATTTCCAATGGAAACACCAATGTTTCTATCTGTGGTGTGACACCCTACACTATCTATGTGGTTAAGATCCGCTGTTCACCTCTAATCGATGGGTTCTGGAGTAAGGAAGTGGACACCACTCTGCTGACCAGGGAAGATGGTCAGTACTTACTGTCTTTGATGGCTGCTTATGTTACGATATTTGATACTCGCAATTGGGTACTTGAAAAAATTATTACAGTACAATAGAGAAGTACAAAATAAAAGCAAAAAGAAATGACTGTTTAAAGATCAAGAACATCTTAAACAAGTTAAACACTGTATTAAAGAATGATCATGTGATATGTTTTGAAAATAAAGTAATTGGTAACGCCTTCCTTTACAGTGCCTGGTGCTGCCCCCTCTCTCCAGTCTGGTAGTTTTTCGGAGCAACCGTGTGACATGCTCAAGGACTGTCGCCAGATCATCCTGTATTGGCAGGTAGGGATTAAATGTCACTTATAGTTATGTATAGTTGTAGTGAACTGGTAAAGAAATGTTACAAAGCAGGTCTTCATTCTATACATCTAACTTTACTATCTCATGTTTGCGGTTATTTGTAACTTTTGTGATTCGGCTGAATTCACTAGTTACATGTATTCAAAATAGTACAATGTATAAGTAATTGATATCCATTGAAAATTAATTTGGAAAAAAAATCTCCTTTATATAACTTCCGTTTATCATTGGTATATGTTTATAGCCTATTCCAAGAACTGCTGCTAACGGAATGATCAAGTACTACCAAATCACTAAGGTTACACAGAGCACGAGCAGTAAGGAGGAAATGTATGTGAGTCACGCCAATCAAGGCAGCCTTGTTTTGGCTGGAAGTCAGGACTATGTGATCGAGATTCGTGGGGCGACGAAAGCAGGACTGTCACCACACTTCTCTACCATCTTTATACCCGCACAGTCGAAAAGTAGGTCACTGCCACTTAGCAAGTTGTGTCCTTTAATAATAACTTTTGTGATTGGAATATCTTCAAAAACACATGAATAATTTTAACTGCTAATTTTATTTGTCAATCATATGTGTGCAAAAAAAAGTCTTTATTTTTCTATTGATTAATTAATTGATCTCTACTATGTTCTGTAGTCACCTAGGGCGTGTTTTGTGTTGCTAATAACAAGCCTTATCTCTGTCTGTTGTTTATCTAGTGCCTGCATTCCCAGAGAACTTTGTAGTTGAGGTAGTTAATGCTAGCTCTGATGTCCAGAATTTGGTACGAATGAGCTGGACAGCACCTAAGAATGAAGAGGGAGATACTGATCCAACTATTGCATCTTACACAGTGTTCATGTGTAAGGGATCTCCCCATCTACACCGTTGTAGCTCGGTAAGTCTGGGGTCACGATGTAGCTAGGTGTCAGGGGTCATGGTGTAATCAGGTCAGGGGTCACGGTGTAGTCAGAAAGTTAGGGGTCATGATAAAACTTGACAAGTTAGGGTCACAATAAAGCTTGGCAGGTCAGGGGTCATAGTTAACTGTGTAATTATAAGTCAGGGGTCACAGAGGAGTAATGAGTAATCAGGGTCACAAAGCTTGGTTTATCAGGGGTCACGGTGAAGTTGGAAAGTCAGGGTCAGGATGTGGATTTGTAAGTTAGGGGTCACAGTATAGCTCAGTAAGTTAGGGGCCACAGTGTAGTCAGTAGATCAGGTTCACTATGGTGCTTTGTAAGTCAGAGGCCACTTTTTGCCCATTTTTAGTACACAGGGTCAGTGGTCACCATCAGCAAGTCCAATACTCACTTTGTTATAATGCTAAGTTTAAAATATTTCATTTCAACACAGCTTATGATTGACTTATGTTTTATATGTTATCTTTCAGGAACCGCTACAATGGAAACTTGTGGATCCAGGCACAAAAGAATTCTACTCAAATGTGTCAAGGACATCCCTAGAGTTCACCATATTTGGCATCTCCATGGAAACCAAAATGTCTTCTGGGGAGAAAATAAGCAGTGGAATATTGTGGAACTCCTGCCTTTTTAACAAGAATGAAAGTAAGAATATTTTAGAATTATACGAAAACTGAAAAGCTACTTTATCTAAATTCATAGACAAACTATAAGGTTATCACTGAAATGTGGTTTTGTAAGTCATGGACGTAACAATATTCTTTGAAAAAAAAATAGGAAATATGTCATTTTTGCATCGTGTTTTGCATGTGTCATTCATGAATTACCTACAGATTTTTTTTTACCAGAATTCAGAACTTTATCAAAATCAACTTACAACACTAGTAATAATATCACTGTGTTACAGAACCTACCCTGGCCCCTAAGAACTTCGCTTTGATGGCGTATCCTGGAGACAACCGAGTCCGACTGGACTGGGACCTGTTCCAGTGTCACGAATCTCACGGTTACATACACTCCTACCTCATCTTCTTCTGTACCGCAGCCAGGGACGGCAACTGTACAGGTAAGTCATTTTGCCTTTCTCATGTACCTGTAGGAGTTCTTCTGATCATTCCACGTGCTAATTGTATAATATGGTAAGTAATCATCACAAAATATCTACTAGGGCAGTAAATTGAATTTGTAAGATCTTTAATTATGCAAGGAGAGACAACTCAACTAGAATTATTAAAGTTTACAACATTTTTAGCTCACCTGCCAAAAGGGCAAGTGGGCTTATGCCATGGTGCGTTGTCCATTCGGCATCCGTCTGTCCAGCGTCAACTTTTTACCTTAAAAAAATTCTCAGTAACCAAGAAGCCTAGGATGATGATATTTGGCCATGCAGTAGCATGCTTGCATGAAGTGCTACCAAGTTTGGTCAAATGAATGACCTTCATCCATTTCAAGGTCACAGGGTCAACAAATATGTTGAAATCTTTTAATGACTTCTGATGAATAACCAAGAGGCCTAGGGTGATAATATTTGGCAAGTAACATGCTGAGATAAAGGGCTACCAATTTTGTTTAAATAAATTACCTTGATTTAAATTCAAGGTCACAGGGATCAAATATGTATAAAACCTTTAAATAACTTCTACTGAATAACCAAGAGGCCTAGGGTGTTGATATTTGGCCAGTAACATGCTGAGATAGGGGGCTACGAAGTTTGTTCAAATTAATTACTTTGACTTATATTCAAGGTCAAAGTGGTCAGATATGTTAAAACCTTAAAACAACTTTTTCTGAATAACCAAGAGGCCTACAGTGTTGATATTTGGCCAGTAACATGTTGTGATAAGGGGCTATCAATGAATGACCTTGACTTATATTAAAGGTCACAGGGGTCAAATATGTTAATCTAAATGGCCAGGGTAATAATATTTGGCCAGAAGCATGCTGGTATGAAAGGCTATAAAGTATGTTCAATTTAATGTCCTTGTTTGACTTTCAAGGTCACATGTGTCACATGTTTGAATTTTTTAATAGATTCTTTTGAATCAAACACTGGTATTATGCCTGCAGCTGTATTTTAAGATAACAAGTGTAAGATTAAGTCAATTTTGGAGTCTGCGTATATACGTGTATATTAATTATGTTACTCTATGTAATGATTTTGACCTCTTTTGTATCACAGGCTTAGTAAAGGTAATGACAGTCAATGGCAAGACAATGACCTTCACCCTGCAGCACCTTGAGACAGAGACAACATATCGGATATGGCTGGCTGCTGAGGCTGCGGCAGGACAGGGACCAGTAACGTCTCCACTGTACACCACAATACAACATCCCATCAAGGGTGGGTAAATGGGAGTTTGTGTCCTTGTTTACTGCCCCCGCTATTGTAGGGGGGAGGCGGGTGCATATAGTTTTCCCATGTCAATCCCATCTTGATTCAATGTCATCATTGTGGAGACCTGATTTCTCAACAAACTTTAGATAGGTTTTATACGAAGGTCAAAGTTTCAGAGTTCCAATGTCAAGGCTGAGGTCACCATTACTATTTATAGAAATTTGTCAACCAGTTCAGTAATATCTGTCCAGCAATTGCATTTATTAATAGATTTCATACAATTTTCAAGTATGATAATCATTCCAATGATTATTTTTTTTAGAGAACAAATGTGTAGGTCAAGGTCACCATTACTGTTCATAAAAATATGTAAAAAAAAAATAAACTAATTTGAATGGGAGTAGGGGCATTCATGTCACGGACATGTTCTGGTTAAAATGAAAGGTACATATTCCGACTGGAGTTTTTGGAGGACATACAAACAGGGGGGAAGGGTGATGTTACATGCACTGCCTATTTAAGACAATGTGTAGTTGTGGAACAATTGACAAATAATGGTAATGAGGAAATAATAAAATATAGCATTAACAACAGATCAAAAAGATAGAAGATTTATCACAACAGTATTAAAGCATATTAGTGTTATTATTTTCTCTCGTAATTTGTGTCCCGATTATTTTATCATAATTAATATTAAAATGTATACCACCTCTATCTGATACAGTGGGGATATCTATGGAAGAGATAGGTGGAATTGCTGCTGCAGTCATCTTTGTCTGTATACTGGCTCTTTGTAGTGTCATCATCTTTGTCAAGTAAGTATTTATATCTATTGTGTTGCCTACACTCTCATGTTGTCTATTTATATATAAACACTGACAGTTAACACTTCTCAGATTTTTCTTCAAAGGCAACATAGCAGGTTAAAAGTTGAAGTCCTTCAAAGGTCCTTTCTGGTGCTTAATAAGTGTCACTAAAATAATCATCAATTTTCCGTAACCTTTGGTAAAAGGGGGGGAAAAAAGGAAAAATTCAAATTTCAAGAAATTAGTTTACATGTGATGCTTTTTATCATAATATAAGTGGTTTTCACAAGATTATGTTATAAATATCCTTTTTTGTCCTCTTTACAGACGCTGTGTCACTACTGTCAAACAGAAGTTCAAGCCGTATGACATTATAATGCCCCATGTTCCTCTCCCACCCATTGTAAGTATCATCCCACCTTAAATTATCTCCCCTTAATCTTATGAACGCTTACTAACACATGCTAACACAAACATAGTAAACAAGTATGGAACCAGTGTGAACAATGCTTTGCTATCTGAAGTTGCCAAAACCATTGAAAAAAATTAAGTAAGCAAGGAGGAAAATTTGCAAAAATGATAAAATATTTTAACAGAATAAACGAAGAAGTTTTATGAAAACAATCCATCAAAGGTCTAAATTTTGTTTTGGAAAGAATTTCGTTCCGGACTACAGTTCTTCAACTTGGACGTCCGGAACTTACTTCTTCATGGTAAGGATAGTGCACTGGCATGTACCCACAATATTATCTGTGTGTTTAAGTTAATCACTTATTAACCACTTTCACTTCAAAAAAAAACATTAGTTTAATGACACAGGTTGAAATTTATTCCAGTATTATTTTCTTTACTGATTAAATATGGATATGAGATTCTAAAAATGATTCAAGCATAACTTTTTGAAGATGTTTGGAAGTGTTTTGTCAATGTGTCATTGAACTAAGAAACTGTCTACCTCTTAACTCCTACACTTGTCCCTCTGTTCTGTCTGTTTTAATGTGGTTTTGTCCCTTACTTTTGTCAAAATTTAATGTGTACATGTAAATCTATAAATATGCACATTAAATTATTCATCATTAGTGAATAAAGCTACAGTGATATGTAACTAACTTTATACATGTATAGGTATTTTTTGGTAAGATGTATCACAAGGCTATCAAACTGACCTTCTACACATCAGGAGATTTGTATCATTTGTGGTGCCTTATTCATAGAGATGTGGGGGAAAATTCCTCCAAGAAGTCAAAGATTTATGTGAAGCTGTAATAATATTTTGTAGTATATGTGCAAGATCTTGCCATGGTAAATGATTAGGAAAAGGTTTTCTCCTGTGGATACCTGACCGTACATCTGAAGTATATTTTCAAATGTTACTTAGTATTATAGCTAGGACAAATTATTCCAGTGCCTCTTAGGTTTAATCCAAACAAGTGTAAAGCAAATCTCAAAAGAAATTATATACTTGAGGTGTTGGGAGGACTTTATGAATAACCCATTGTGTGTCTTCTTGGACAGATTATAATTTGAGTTATCTCCCTTGCAGCCCATGCCTGACCCTCTACCACCACGGTCACCCAGTTCTGACGACTCTGATAGCATCTACGAGAGGATTGATGGTCATCGTCATGACAGCTCCTCCCCCTCATCTCCTGATGGGTCAATAGACATCCCTTTGATCAACAAAAATGCCACGCTGACCAAGGTAACTAATCTTTTATGTTTGGTAAAGGCTGTAATTATAGACAGAAACTGTTCATAATGTCTAAATGAATTAAACTCTAGGAAGAAAGACTTAACTGTAAATGATCACCGTGTAAGTTTAACAGAATTATGCTATATGTATTTATGTCAAAACACCTGAAACACAAAGACTTTAAGCATGTATGCTCGTTTGACTGATCGGTTTTGGAAACATCTTTTAATTTTTATTTTTGTTATGAGTGGACTATGCCACATGAATTTTATACTGGACTGATGTGAATATATCTTACTCTAAACAAGCATGCTTTTGTACAGATCGTTACTGTGAGTTATCCTGTCTTTCAGTCACAGCTGTATGGCGATCCACAGCGGATGTACCAGCGATCAAGTGGAGGGAAAGCAGGTATTGACAGTGGCAGGGGCAGCATGATCTCTGCCGCTGGCTCAATCTTCTCCAGACTTCATCCAACGGGAGGCACCCTAGAGAGGAGGCAGTATGGCTATGGGGTCACCCAGGGTCACCCTCCACAGACCCCCCCTCGGGGAACCACACGCTATGACTACGGAATCCAAGGCAACAAGACATTTCTTAGAGACCCACATTCTCCATTGTGGAAAAAGAAACAAATGTCATCTAGTCAGGATGTTTTGAGAAATGTGGAGGCTTCACCCTACAGTTGTGTTGACATTGTAAATCTGCCCACAGCAGGGAGTGACCTCATGATCGCCTTGGATCCTGGGACTCGCAGTGTTGGGAGTGCATACAGTGATCCAGCATATGGTACAAACAATTTGTCTGCTACCCCATTGAGGAAGAAATGTGTCACACTGCCATCAAAATCGGCAGAGAATTTCCTCCAGCACAATCACTTTAATATCAAGAGGCACCCTGTTGACATTAAGACATTGCAGGACTACTCCGACAGTAATGACCTTGGGCTGGGTTCGTACACACCTCCCACTTCAAAGGAAACAGATGATGAGGTCAGTGTCGTACCTACTGCACCCATCTCGACAAACATCAAAGTGAATGACAAGGAAGTTGACATCACAGATGACGAGACATGTTCCATGGATGAAAATGTGCAACTGGGAGACACCAATCGTGGCAATCTTCGTCCTGTACCAGTCAGTAAAAACTATGTACGTCAAGCACAATTTGAAAAAAGTAGGAAGTGTAAGCCAGATGCGAGATCATCACCCAAGCAGCTCAACATCAAACCTGGCCCTAGACCTGTCAGCGAAGTCGTTAATGTACCTGCCCATTTCTACGGATCTCTGTCTCTGCTTGACACCGGCGATGCCACAGAACTATAACTAGTCACGTGACTTGTCAATAGTATAGTTCATGTGTCATGTGATTGTTGTCATTTTGTTTTAAACATCTTGGCTATCCTATCCTCTGTGTATTTTACTATTGTTTCGAGTCATAAGTGTATGGTTTTGAAGAAGTTACTGGATCTTTATTACTTGACACAAGATTCCTCTGATATAAGCCCCAAAGTCTGTGGAAACAACGAATAAAATGTGAATTAATTTCTATCCTTTACTTGAAAAATTCAGACTGTTTGAAAGCTGATGAAATTCACAGGACAGATTTGTTTGAAAGTGCTGATGTTAGCATGTGATATATATATATATATATAATTTATAAAATTAACAAAATCTAACTTGTTACTTTGACTTTTGTATAATTAACCTAATATTATTGCATAATATTCAATATTTCCACTTAAAGTGCTATGCGAACTTATAGAATGGAACGAAATACTTAAAGGAGATTTTATAAGATAATCTGACAATGCAAAAGGTGAGGTTGATGGGTTTTTCCTTTTTATACAGATAATTGAACATTCTTTTTGTCTTGAACAAAAAGGAACAGTGTACAGACCAGCTAATAAATGACCAGACTTTATAGAAATGGTTGGCTCCGATATAAAATACTGCATGTCAAATATTATTGAGTTGGGGTAATTTACAAGAAGTCACGTAAAGGTTTTTTTACTTCAAAATCCCCTTTTCCATGCACCCCTCCTTTGTTTAACAGTCATAGTAACTTCTGTGTTGTTCCTGTGACAATTCCTGTCTTGTTGAGTATACATGTCTGTTGTATAAGATTGATGTAATGCTCCCTAAAGTTGTTCCTCGATTAATTGATGTAGAAACTTAATTGATACCGGTAAGGCACCGTGCAATAATTACACTCCATTCATGTATAGAATTACTGGGTGTCAAGTCAGATACACAGTTATAATTACAACTCTCAGCACAACAGTTCAGCCTGGAACTGACATTGGTCATTTGAAGTAAGTTTCAAAAGATTTTTTACACAAGTCTTTGTAATGGTTTTGTTGGGAATTGAATGGCAGTTGTAACAATGTTTTGCGACACAATTGCACTGGCTTTTCTGTTGATAACTCCTTCAAGATATACCCACTATATATGTTTGTGTATTTTAAAAATACATCTTTATAAGGGCATAATAACTATCAGGTTTCATCATCAATATTTCACTCGTCTTTTTCAACATTTATTATCGTTTGTATAAGAGGCGCCAGTACAGCATATGGATCTCTCTATGGTCATCATTCATTTCATTAAACTACTTGACAACAAAAGACTATTTGTAATTTTTGACGATAAATCCTGAAAGAACTGGCCTAAAATTTGATACTTTGTGTATTTTATTGAAAATAGATTTTTTTTGCAGTCTTTTTTTTAATATTTTGTATTGATTGTTAAGAAATTCAAATGAAATGGTCTGCAGTAGTGACCATTAAGAATATGAGTGGCACAGATTAAAATATCGTTAACTGTTAACTCGGATATACCGTAGTTAACTTAATAAACAAGTTCACAGTACACAGGCTCTCTTAACATGCAGCTGATGGCGAGGCTTACACAAATTTCTAAATAACGGGTTTTGACGAGTTATATTCTGGACCTTGGGTACTAAAATCAAACAAGTTGGTCTAAATTAAAATATATGCCAGGTTTGCGATGGGTTTCATCTACAAATTTGTGTTTCAACATTTATCATAACAATACTATACAGTTGTTGTTCGTGAAAATTGAAATATTTTTATTTTGGCAATTTTGCCAGGAGAATGTTTAATTCCAAATATTGGCCTATCCTTGATGTTTAAAATGCTTGAAGAGCGAGTCATTTTTATTTGGAATTTTGCTAATTTAAACAAATCATCTTTACATTTTTGGCTGGTTTTACATTTAACAAAGATGCAAGAAAATTGAAATTCAATGAACATATTTTTCTTGCAATTTTTGGTCTCAAATTCGAAAATAATACTCGTCTTTTCACTAGTATTAATATTATTAATATTTTTGGAAATATGATATAGAGGGGAAAATTTGAAGTGAACAACAGTAAGGATGGGTCAAATAGGGATTTGTACGTAGCTGTACATTTGTACTGTAGTTCAAGCTGTGTGTTGGTGAGCCTGGCCATTCATCGTATGTAAATCCCCTGTGACCTCCCTCTGCACTACATTTGTTTATTCAGAGTTCTAGAATACAAATATCCATCCTTGCCAAGATTATATATACTGTGGGGTATCATCAATCCAACCGTTAGTGGTAATCCAAGAGCTAAAGTGTGAAAAAGCAGGAATACTGAAACAGTTTTGGGGGGGGGGGGACTTCAAATAAATTTTGATGCTTGGGGAGTAGGGGAGAGATTGAGGATAAGTAGTACAACTGGTTGGAAACTTAAATCTTAAAAACAAAATCCATTTTGTAGTTTTTGCAAGGATTTTATTTGCAGTAGTGCTGAAGATAAATTGGCAGGCTAGGTAACATGCAGGTCAAATATTTATTTATTTTTTAAATGAAATTTTGAAATAAGAAAATGCTTAAAAAAATAGGTGTACAAATATAGGAAATATTAAGCATAATAAAATGATATTTAATATTGTTGGTAAAAATTTAAATCGTTCTACAATAATAAGCTGATCCATGTCATGTTTGTGTGAGTTAACTGGTGTTAAGTGTTATCTCATGTATGTCCGTTATTCATTGTGTACTTTATCCACACAGCTTTAAGCATTGATATATATATATATAATAAACACTATGGTTGTGACTCATCAAAACGTTTCCATTTTTGGAGCTCTCTAATGTTCAAGAGCAAACACAAACTACTTGCTGGCACATGATATCTTGAATATCATACAGAACACTCTTTTGAATTTTAGCACAGAACTTTTAAGTAGATGTTTTGTATCTCTGCACATTAGAGAGTTCCACTTTAAGACATCATCATCACATCATCATTCATGTTTTGTATTGAGGTGACAAAGGAGAAAAAACTGTTTATTTTTAGACCTTGTTTCATTATTTTGTAATTAAATGCATGTAAATGTAATCGTTCAATACACACACCACATTCCTTGAAATAGACAGCATTAAATTTACTATGTATAAATTTGAAATTTCCACTGGGAATTATTAACCAAGATGTACATTTTGATATATGACAACTTGGAAATAGGGTAGTATATCAATGAGGAAAGAGTTAAGACATGTTTATGATATTATCAGACTAGATATTTAGGATTGTTTACTCTATCAAATAAGAAAATATCATAGGTATTCTATTTTGAGAAAATATTAAAAATAACTGTAGAATTCACTTCCACATAAGTCAAAAATACTTAGGTTCCTAATATGACCCTATTTAATAGTATTTTTGAAAATAAAAACTTGAGTCTGGACTTGTATCAAAAGAGTTGATGCCTTCTGGTAAGAATATAAAGTAACATAACTCAAAAATGAATTGTTAAAGCTGTCAAAAGGCTTCGCTTAAATGGCACTGGCAGAATGTTGATTTAATAACTTTTCCCCAACTTTAACCATATGTTTGCAATAACTTTAGAGAAAAGATGTTGTACCAATATTGACGTAGTTGTGGGATAGAGGTATAATGTTTCAGTGAATGAGTTCTAGGCGTGTGTTGTTTTCGTGGATGAGTTGTGTATGTTTAATTACTGTGCTTTTGTCACCTTGATCATCGTTTGTTACAATGTGATTACCGGACCTTCTGGTTGTGACTTTATTTATCTGTACTTTTGGAACATTCCATTAGCTTTATAAAGCATTCATTTACATGTCCAACAAGATATCTCAAATAAAGTGTTTCGTACTACAGCTATTTGTTTTCTGGTCTTTTATGAAAAATACATGTTCAATAGTTCATACCTTCATCATTTCATAAATGACACGTTTTATCAAGATATATAGGCCACTCAAAGAGGTTGGAGACATAACATCCCTTTTAAGTTGAAAATCCAATACAATTTGTATGATTACCACAGTGGATACTTGTAGTATATGGCCAAGACGTCCTTGTACACCAAAGCTGGCTACTCCAGGTAAAGTAGTCCAGAGGATATGCCCTGGACAAACATGTTCAAAGTTAAGGTCAAAGGTCAAGTCATAGGTCACAGTGACTTAATTTTTGCACTCTACACTCCGCCATCTCAAGACGTCCTTGTAAACCAAATCCAGGTGAAGTAGTATCAATGACTTAATTCTTGCACTCTGCAATCCGCCATCTCAAGATGTTCTTGTACACCAAATTAAGTTACTTCAGGTGAATTAGTGTAATAAAAAGAGTTTAATATGGCTCAGACACTTACTGAAAACAAGACCAATAATTATTGTGAGCAATCCATAGCCCACCACCTCTGGACTAACTTTAGAATCAAAATTGATCAATGGGCCATAACTCATACAGGGGCACCAGACCCCACTTCAGTTTGCCTTGGCAGACTTTGCCCCCTAAACGTCACTCATGCACATACAAAATTATCAGTTTTGGTAAAAGGACATATGTGAGACACGCCCCAGATTAAGGGATGTACAATGAACAAAGGACCATAACTCTGTATATATATAACGGGGCACAACATGGTACATGACACTGCCATCTGAAGAGGTGCTTCTATACAAAATTTAGTGATTGTACAATTGTAGATGACAAAGCTAGTGCATCAGATACACAGACTTTTGGTCCCTTCTGGTAGAAAGTAGGGGGCTAACTAAGAACTTACTGGACCTTGAGGTAAAGATCACATTGACTAAATTCATTTATGGTACATCCCACACATGTGAGGGAGGACCCTACACTTATTAGTTTATTATGATATTGTGCAACGTATTCCAGATAAAGGCCTGGATGAAATTTGATCAGAACCAGCTACCAACTTACTACAATACAGTATGTTGTCCATCATTTAAAGGAGACCGGTAATAAATTGTCAGGGAACCAAATTACTTCAAGGTCAACAGGGTATTTATGATATTTAAGTTTGACTAAAGAATACAACCTGGGTTATTGGTTAGTCAACCATGAGACTAATGGATTCCATGGGATATGCAGGAGGGGAGGCAACTCTCATAATTCTAGATACGTATATCCTTATGAAAAATTGCTATAAAATGAATAGGATAAACAAAAACATAAGGATAGTCGAAAGACAACAAACACATTTTATTGGCCTAATACTATATGCTTAGTTTGGTTATTAGTTAAAGATGATACAATAACTATAAAAAATCTGATACATCTTTCAATTCTATTTATTTTCCCATTCAGAAGGGTTAACATCATAGTCTACCATGGCCCTCTCCAAATGTATCCAGCGTCCAAATATGCACACATCCACAATACTTTTATGGAATTCTGTCCAGTGGGGTTTGATTTGCTTACACTTGGAAGCAAACTGATCCACTTCTGTTGATCCTGTGTCTATCCTTGCTAGTGTGAGAAGGTACAAGTTATAAATCTTTAGTTTACAGTCTTTATGTGCTGCAAAAACTTTGTGAAGAAATTTGACAGATTCTGGATTCCTCACTGGAACTCCAACAACACCAACATCATTATGGTTCTCCACTAAACGGGCTTCATAGTCCAGCTTTGATGGCGACGGGTTGGTTTTTATGAGGACCCCAACTGTTGCCAAGAGCGACAGATACACAGATGCCTTCAAAGGGCGGTCTTTCATATCACGAAGTGTTTCTTTATACACCATGTGATAGTCCCTCAAGAGGGTGTTGAAATAATTTGCTGAAAAATAAAAGAGAGCAACAATATGTAATGTGAAGATGAAAATGCCTTTTCTGTAAACAATTGCTAAGTTAATTTAGATCACAGTTTATAATCAGTCAAGGATTCAACAACTCCAATCTTTAAGCCCCTTAATTAAAACAGACCCATTCCCTACTAAAAACAGACCTTACTTTTCACAATTGGTAAGAACAGATTTGAAGGTCAAAAGGGAGGGCTTTTCTATTTTAGTATGATTAATGTAAAGTTGATTCAACATTTAATAATAATAATATACAGCATTTGATATAGCGCCCTATAGCTAACACAAGAGGCCCAGAGGGCCCGTATCGCTCACCTGGATACCTATGCAATCATGGCAAACTATTCTCCAAATTAGATCAAGGGAATATGCCAGACCCCAAGGCCAATCCTTGTAGCATAGCTATATTAGATTTTTCATGCCCAGCAATTTTATGTATGGTTATGGGGTGGGGATCTCAACTGTTTCGAAGCTTTGACTCAGAAACTAGGTCCCTATAGTTGTGGCCAGACCCCAGGATCGATTCTAATATTGTGACTGCATTTGTCTCTTTTTTTTTAGCATTTGTATATATAGTTTTGGGGTGGGGATCTCAACCGTTTCAAAGTTATGACCCAGGGGCCAAGTCTGCAAGGGTGGGGCAGACCCTGGGATCAATTCTAAT